ATGTCCCTGCTGCTGACGCTGCTGCTGCTGCTGCTGCTGATGAGGCATTCGAGGCGGCGCAGCTGTACGAAGCAGCAGCAGCAACAGCAGCAGAAGGTGCTGCAGCAGAGGCAGCAGAAGGAGAAGCAGCAGCAACCTCTCCTGCAGCAGCAGATGCTGCAGCTGAGGCTGCTGCTGCTGCAGAAGCCGCTGCAGCAGCAGAAGCTGCTGCTGCAGCTGAAGCAGCAGAAGTATCAACTGCAGCAGCAGCAGCAGCAGCACCTGCAGCAGCAGAGGAGACAGCGCCAGCTCCAGAAGCAGAAGCAGCAGCAACAGCAGCAGCAGAAGCAGCAACTACACCCCACACGGAAGCAGCAGACTGGGACGCTGCAGCAGCCGTTGCCAATGAGCAGCAGCAGCAGCAGCAGCAGCAGCAGCAGCAGCAGCAGCAAGCAGATGGAGTATGGGAGGCCCAAGCCTATCCCCCCGCAGAAGAAACATACGAAGCAGCAGCAGCAGAAGCAGCAGCAGCAGAACCCGCAGCAGCAGAACCCGCAGCAGCAGAACCCGCAGCAGCAGAAGCAGCAGCAGCAGCACCGGAAGTAACCGCAGAGCCTGCAGCAGCAGAGCCTGCAGCAGCAGTGCCTGCAGCAGCAGAGCCCGCAGCAGCAGCAGCAGCAGCAGCAGCAGCAGAACCCACAGCAGCAGAAGCAGCAATACCAAAGGAAGAGCCAGCGTTTGCATATGCAGCAGACACAATAGCAGCAGCGCCTCCAGCAGCAGATGAAGCAGCAGCAGCACCAGCAGCAGCACCAGCACCAGCACCAGCAGCACCAGCACCAGCAGCAGCAGCAGCACCGCAACCAGCAGTCCCTCGTTCTCCGACTAAGGCCCCCTCTGCAGCAGCAGCTGCAGCAGCAGGTGCAGCAGCAGCAGCAGCAACCAGAAACCCCTACCGTCAGCAGCAGCACCCCGAGCAGCAGCCGCAGCAGCAGCAGCAGCAGAAGAAGAATCCTCAGCGGAAGCAGCGGCAGCAGCAGCAGCAGCAGCAGCAGCAGAATCCATATGTAGCTGAACAGCAGCCGTACGGTGTAGTGCCTCCCGAGGCAGTATATGCTGCAGCAAAGCCGCTGCAGCAGCAGCAGCACAAGCAGCAGCAGCAGCAGCAGCACAAGCAGCAGCAGCAGCACAAGCAGCAGCAGCCTTACGCTGCAGGTGGTGCGGCGTACGCAGCAGCATACAGACAGCCAGAGTTTGATGCAGCAGAACAGCAGCAGCAGCAGCAGCAGCAGCAGCAGCAGCAGCAG